ACACGTAGGCCTATTACACGTAGGCCTATTACACGTAGGCCTATTACACGTAGGCCTATTACACGTAGGCCTATTACACGTAGGCCTATTACATGTAGGCCTATAGCTAAAACAGTGCACTGGGAATGAAAGATTAAGAAATCGGAACCTTTGGTTGTGTCAGCATCAATAGCCTCAGCCCAGGATTGGCCATCAACACAACAGTTTTCATGGAGGGAACTCTTGTACACCTGTGTGAAAAATGTATGAAAAAATCCATTAATGTCAGACGATTCAAGTGAGCTTAACCATGTTAACTGGGAGGCTCCTTTAAAAGAATTCATCTTCACCTCCAGTAAATGCAAGATGCAAGCATACGTGTACATGTATATAGGTAGGCACAATGTGAGCATGATAAAAGTTTAACAACACCACCACCATCATAGAAAAAGATTTTGTTTTAAGTACATGCGTAAATCAATCAATTATAACCAATTCACGTACACGCACAGTTTATACACACATGTACCTAGTGAAAAAATTTAAAAACTGGACAGGCCTACACATGTCGGCCCTAATCAAACTTCAAATGTCGTGTCAACTGTTTTACTTGCTGTAACATTTAATATTGTAATTTTATTTAAAATCATTTAATTTGTTGTGGCGACTTTGCCGTCAGTGAAACTCTGATGCCTGGCAAAATTAGGGCAGATGGCGAAAAATTATAATGCGCATATTTTTAATGACACAGGCCATGTGGTATACGCATATTGCTCCATGCATATGTCAAAAACCACGCCGTACTCAAGTAGGCTTTTCTCTAACCATAGTTCCCATAAGAACTGTGGTTCCCTTTGTGAAATTTATTTGCTACTAGTGCCCTCTCCCTCAAAATATCCCATTTGCATTGCCGGAAACTGTGCGGCACAGTGTGTATTTACATGTATTTGCCTAAGGTTTATGAATGAAAATGAAGCTCAGCCCACCATAGCAATGTGTGAAACTCCTCGTGTTTTGGCTTTTGTAATAAATGTATTTTCCCCTCTGTTTTACTGGAAGGGTATCAAAGTGTTACTGTTTGCAGCTATTAACCCCTACAAGCCAGGAGACGGCAAATGCCGTGGCTCACAGGGAGGATTAGTGAATATCACGCATACATTCTATTCATCATGCAGCAGCGATTTCAATGTGGGCCTGCTGCTGGTGCTGGATAGGGCTTTGCATACTGGGCATGCCACAGTCCAGCAGTCATGGTCAAAAGAATCCCGCTGTGAAGGGGTTGATATTGTACATGTAATACTTAAAAGTATGCAGTTGTCAACTGTGCTACTGATTTTCCTATATAACATTAACAGGCACATTTAAGGTAATGGCGAGCTAACACACATGCGGCCCTAAGGTCACCACTTAAAAATGGCCATCTTAAATTTAGTCTCAGAAAGACATCTTCATGTCAAGGAAGAATAAACCATGGCAAAACCGATGCAGACTTATCAAAGTATCTTGTTATACATATTACAACAAGATCGTTTACTGAAAACAAAACAAAAATACATGATTGTTAAGCATGTTAAGATGACGAGTAGGCCTTGGCCAAAATTCAGATTTGGGTGGCGACTATACCATATTATATATACTGTCACGCACTTTAGGCCTAAACCACCAGTCCATCATCATATCCCTGGCAATGGCGTAGGCCAACAAAAGTAGTGTCAGTAGGCCTAGGCCTACTCAGTACATGTATGTAGCTGCATAGGCCTAGCATGCCTAGCAGTGCATAGCAGTAGCATTTTTCTATTTATACAGACCTCTCGAAATCTCCGCCTGAGTCGTTCCTTCTGTTCCTCAGGCCACTCTGAATTCTTCCCAATTACCCTATCGATGGAGCAAAGTACTTTCTCCACTGCTGCATCCAATGACTGCTTGCTACAGCAAGAAATCCTTGTTTCAGTTGACAAGGCCTCTGTCCCACAGTCACTACCTTCTGTCGCCATTTTGACACAAACTGGAATGGTACGATGCCTAGCCTCCCCTATGACATTTTTGCTTTATAAGCACACTCAACAGGTTGAGAACAGCCTATTTTAAAATTTTCCCGCGAAGTTAGTCAGGTATCATCCTGTCTCTGAAATTCGAACTATCTTGGAGCGAATAAGTGAAAGGACATCAGACGTAGGCCTATCTTTTGAGCTACGGCTGCAGCGGCACGTGTGTTATTATTGGCCGGCCGTAGCCAAACATGGCCTGTGTACGTGTGCGGCGTTTGTGACAACACGATGTACACATAATGCTTCAGTTGTGTTTTACCTACCTCCATGGTTTTACCGTCGCAGTCTCGGCTAGTGTTGTTGGGCTGGTTGAGGCGTAAGGTTTCAGCATGAACCAGGCATGTCAGGATTCATCAAATACCACGTACATAGATGCACACTGCCATTTGGCTTCTCAAGAATTTACTGAGGTGACTTAAGATTTTTATCTGTCATGAGACCTATCTGACATGTCTGATCATTATTCATCATGGGATAAACCAACGACCTGCCTCCATGTACATTGTACAAACCGTTCCTCCATGTAGAAACCAAATGGTGTGGCCTGTGGGACATGTGGGAGGGGGTGTGGATGAGGATTTGGTTGTTCACTAAATAGTAAAAGGTGTGCTGGTGGCTCAGTTGGTGGCAGTAAATGTTGGAATGACATGTCATGAATGAGGCCTACCTGCCCCAGGAAGTATGTGCTTTCATTTCGAGTTTCAATGAACATTAAGGCTACACGTATTTGTCTTCTCAAAACTACATGTATTTGTTCATTATTGTGATTACACTTAGTTTTGGAGGGGGATTAGAGAGGAAGGAGATGTGAATGGTAAATATGGAGTCATGGGTGTACAGAGGGGACAGACCACTGGAGCATATGAGGTGCAATATTTAGTGTTGGGCTGGTGAAGACTGTCATTTGTCAAAACTGACAAGTTCATGTAAATAAGAAAAGGACACACGAAGGGACTTTAAACTTGTAATTTGTTATACACAAGACTTTTAAATATTGACAGACTGAGGAACCTCATGTTACAGGCCTAAAACGTAAAAATACTGTTCTTTATTAACATTTATTTCCCTGTAACTGATTTAAGAAGATTATTCAAATGAAATGGAAATAACTAAACTGGAAGATTTGAAGTTTGAAACTGTTTAAATTGCTTTAAAAATTCAAATGATATGTACTATTACAGTGCCAAACACCAGGACTCGCCCTTTCAATAAGTACATGTATATCTTGTGTAGCACATCTTGGCCACCGTAGGTTTCAAAGAGTGCCAGCTTGCATAGATTTGCACACACATTGTCGAACCCATAAAAAGCTGCCTACACCTTGGCACAAAATGAAGTAACTTTTTTTGTGTGAATTGCTTCAAAAATAGACTGTGAGTTGTAAAAATAAATTCACCTCTAAAATTTCAACTGCATTGTACTTTTCTTTTGTTTCGTGTTTTAAAGCCTTAGGGGGTGCACAGAAATAGGAGGATCGAGTATACATGTACATGCATTTTGGGAAAGATGTTACTTTAATGCCCAAGTACTGCCCATGTATATGGATACTGTGTGAAATACAGTATCGCTGTCAATACTGCAAAGTTTGGGAAGTGGACAGAGGTGGATACACATGCACCACATTCAACACTGCAAAAATTTATGACTTTAAAGTGTACCTGAACATGATAATTACATGTAAGTTTTGACTTCATTTCATGTTACAGGTACATGTATGAGAGTTTTAAACACTTTGTACTTTATTTTTCAATGCCCCCCTCAAAAAAATTCTTTGAACTTCCAGTCTAAGCATTGTTATAAATTTTCAAATTGTACAACTAATTTGCCTGAATGTGAATGGGAGTGTTGGTTTATACTGTAGCCATAGCAACTAGACATTCTAACATTTTGGTTCACTTTCTTTCTCTTGTTTATTAGGATATTGGAGATGTGATTGATAGAGCAAAACAGGTAAATGATGATATTATTTCTCGTACATAGAACCTGTTTGTAATTTCTTTTCAATTGATATCATATTATTTGTAAATATGTGTCCAATTTTAATCTGTTCTCACCTTTGATGTACAGTAGTGTTAGTGATATAAAGTGTAGCTTTGTCCAACCTATAAGTGCAACGATTTTAAATTCTGCCTTCATCAACAATTCAGTTGCAAAATCACCCACGTGCACAGTACAAATAAGCATTTTTCCACACTACATGTATGCGCTAACCACCACAGGCATTTCTTGGCCCAAACCTGCATTCAGTAGTAAAGCCATGGAGCACCTTGCATTCTTTCCTCTCAGTCAATGTGCCTTGGCTAAATTTGAAGGAAGAAGTTTGATAATGAAATTGATTGAAAAAAGTTGCAAAGCAGATTTGATTGAGTAGTGCATTAAGTTTTAAATCTTTTGTTTTTAATACATGTGCATGGTTGCATATTTATAGTGAGGAATCCTTTGAAATTAAAACCAGTATCTAATGGAATAAACAGGGTAAATAGAGTTTTGAGACTAAAAGGTTTTTACAATGTACATGGTATAAACTGAACTTGTAGTCTGACACGTAACCATGGTCAATAAAAGACTCGATTTTTGGTTTTGACTTAAACAGGCTGGTGTGAGAGCTGCCCTTGTCGTTGCTGAGCATCAGGGTGAATTCAGTCGAATCCTTCAACTCAGCCAGCAGTATGCAGGTTTCATCATGCCCTGCTTAGGTGTCCACCCAGTTCAGGTAAATATCTGTGGTCTGAGTCTGGTTTCGTGAGAAGAAACAGAAGTGAGGCAATCTCTTTTCATCAGGCCCTTGGTTGTTATTGTGAGGTATGGGTATAATATGGAGATAGGCACTATACGTACACGATGGAGGGAAGCTGTGGCCGTTGCCCTTTCCCATGCTTGTGTGTGTTACTCCCGCCTTCAGCCAGTTGACCTCCATCTTACAGCACATACTATGTACATGTAGTCATCTTGGGAAGGGGAGGGGCAAGGGAGGCACTCCCCCCCCCCGAAAAAACAATCAAAATAAAAAGAAAAAAGAGGGGATCAGAGGGGTGTGAAGAAACAAGAATGTAAAAGGAAGGAAAGGAAATTGATATTACCAATTTGCTTGGAAATGAGAGGACCCTTTCACCAGTGATGCTTTTTCATTTTGCTGCCAATGAGTGCTCGCTGTGCACCCCCCCCAGCAGAATTCCTGTTGATGCCCATGTCCGGCATAGATTATCTGCTTGGTCCAAAAGATATGACGGGGCTATACATGTTTATCAAACGTGTTTTGGGAAGTGCCTGCCATTTTCTGCTGAACGGAAATTGGTAGACAGTTTTTGCACTTTTCAGGAAATACTTGGGATCGGGTTTTTTTTGATGGGGGGTTCACCTTCAACCCAAAGTTTTAGAAAGCAGGTGGGAATCACTTTGTGAGCGTACAGAGCCATCAAGAAAAAACAGAAGCAGTTGGTGAAAAGCATGGTTTAAAGTTAACATTTCAAAATACATAATAAAGGATGGCAACTACTGCAGATACTACAGATTTTCCATTAACTTCGTGAAGGATGTATGTTCAAGTATTCAGTGGATTATGATAGAATTGAAAGTACGATTACAGTTTATTTGTAAGTATCTTGAAATTAATTACATTCATTTACTTTTGGAGTAAGATCACAGTAGATATTGGTTGAAGCCCAATCCTCAGATTTACATGCTGCTCATTAATTGATTGTTAAGTGGTACCTTATTCATTTATGTAGGGTGATCCTACCAAGGAGCAGAGAGGGGTGCGTCATTCTGACCTTGAGGGCGCTCTTGAGTTCATTGAAGCTCACAGTGATGAGTTGGTTGCAATTGGCGAGGTACGTGGAACCAGATCCAGTTTTGCCGGAGCAGGATTTTTGAAGTCTTAAATCAATTGGCAAGGCTGTACTGTATAAATGTTGATGGCTAGGGAAAGCTTAAAAGGTTTAGCAAACAATAACACAGCACCTCAAACTGGTACATGTAGGTCTGCACTGAAAAAACAGAGAAAGATCTGTATGTTTAGTGTTATGAGGCACACCATACTGCATTGGCTGATGAAAGAATTCCTTCCTCCAGAGGTTACCCAGAAAGAGTAGAACCCCTTTACATGTGCTTGAATTTCTATGTGGACTTTGCCTGTTTTTTTTTATATTGATGTTATCATCAAGGTAGGACTGGATTTCACACCTCGATTTGTAAAGACTGATAAGGAGAAGCAAGAACAGCGCGAGGTTCTTATCAGACAGGTTGAGCTGGCCAAGAGGTTGCACCTTCCACTGTGAGTAGAAAGAAGAGGGGGACATTGCATGAAGACTTGGCCTTAACTTCAA